AGAAAGAAAGAAAGAGAGAGAGAGAAAGAGAAAGAAAGAAAAAGAGAAAGAGAAAGAAAGAAAGAGAAAGAAAGAGAAAAAGAAAGAAAGAAAGAAAGAAAGAAAGAAAGAAAGAAAGAAAGAAAGAAAGAAAGAAAGAAAGAAGACCAATGCCTTTCAATCAACAAATATATGCTTAAAATATAGGACTAGACTGTGATCCGCATTCCAAGAAGAAACAATGTTATTTAAATCCACACTAAAAGATGCTATGTGTTTTCACAAGTGCCAGATTGGTCTATCAAAAGAGAGTAGAGAAATAAAGAGCCCCGCGGACCAGACTTTAGAAATAATTCAAGGAAGATATTTTTAAAGCTGTAGATTAATGTAGTGTATCTATATAATGAAAAATTATTCAGCCATGGAAAGGAATGAAGTACTGACACATGCTACAATATGAATGAACCTTGAAAACATTACGCTCAGTGAAAGAAGCCAGTCAGTAAACACCACATACCATATGTTATGAGCAAAACTGTGTTCCTCCCAAATTCCTATGCTGAAGTCCTAACCCCCAGGACCTCAGAATGTGACTGTATTTGAAGATGGAGTCTTTAAAGAGGTGATTAAGGTAGCATGAGGTCATTAAAGTAGACCCTCATCCAATAGGACTGAAGTCCTTATAAGAAGAGGAGATGAGGACACAGACACACACAGAGGGATGACCCTGTGAGGACACAGGGAGAAAACCGTGTCTACAAGCCAAGGAGAGAGGCCTCAGGAGGAACCAGCCCTGCCCACACCTTGATCTCAGACTTCCAGCCTCCAAGAATGTGGGAGAATCAATGTGTGTTGTTTTAAGCCACTCTAGTCTATGGTATTCTTTTTTTTAGACGGAGTCTTGCTCTGTTGTCCAGGCTGGAGTGCAGTGTCACCATCTTGGCTCACTGCAACCTCTGCCTCCCGGGTTCAAGCAATTCTCATGCCTCTGCCTCCCTAGTAGCTGGAATTACAGGTGTGTGCCACCACACTTGGCTTGTTTTTTTTTTGTATTTTCAGTAGAGACAGGGTTTCACCATGTTGGCCAGGCTGGTCTCTAACTCCTGACCTCAAGTGGTCTGCCCACCTCAGCCTCCCAAAGTGCTGGGATTATGTAGATTTATACTGGCAGACAAATGTATACACCTATAGTTTAAAAGGAATTCACAAGAAAACCACAAGTGAAGATCAGCAAGAAATAAATAAATGACCATTTCAGGACAGGCGCAGTGGCTCACGCCTGTAATCCCAGTGTTTTGGGAGGCCAAGGCGGGGGGATCACCTGAGGTCAGGAGACCGGCCCGGCCAACATGGTGAAACCCTGTCTCTACTAAAAATACAAAAATTGGCTGGGTGTGGTGGCAGGCACCTGTAATCCCACCTACTCCGGAGGCTGAGGCAGGAGAATCACTTGAACCTGGGAGTCGGAGGTCGCAGTGAGCTGAGATCATGCCATTGTGCTCCAGCCTGGGTGACAAGAAGGAAACTCTATCTCAAAAGAAAAAAATACATTTCAAGGATCCTACCTTGGAAGAAGAAGAAGGTAGACTCTAGATAGTGTTATTGATAGGAAAGAGAAACAGTTTTACTAAGGGAAGCATTAGACCATTATCTTGCTGTTGAACTATTTTGCTGAAATTTTTGATAAGTAGAATGAATTAAACTGAACCGTTTGTGTGAAATTATTAAAAATATACACATGGCAATGACTTGAAATCTCTCCACCAATCACCTAATTTTTTTCTTATTTTTTTAAAATAAATTTTATTTCACCATAATCAATACTTAAAATTCCCTGAAATTAGGCTGAGCATGGTGGCTCACTCCTGTAATCCCAACACTTTGGGTGGCCAAGGCGAGTGGATCACACATGAGGCCAGGAGTTCGATACCAGCCTAGCTAACATGGTGAAACCCCATCTTTGCTAAAAATACAAAAATTAGTCGGGCGTGATGGTGCATGCTTGTAATCCCAGCTATTCGGGAACTGAGGCAGGAGAATCACTTGAACCAGGGAAGCAGAGATTACAGTGAGCTGAGATTACACCATTGCACTCCAGCCTGGACGACAGAGCGAGAGTCTGTCTCAAAAAAAAAAAAATCCTGAAATCCTGAAATTATAAGTGTGATTTTTTTTGGAAACTCATACAGACTCATATCTTTATCCCTGTTCATACATGGTACTGTGCTATACAGAGACTGCTTATCTAGAAATCAAACTATTTTGAACAAAATGGAGAACCTTGAATTATGAAAGAAGGTCATTAGGCAACAAAAAAAGAAAAAAATAAATCAATATTTATAGGACAAAAACTTTCAGTGTTTACTTTTATTTTTAGTATAATTCTCATTAACCTAATTAGTTCATTCCTTGAATGTATCAGATGAGAAGTTACTACTTAGAAGGAAGAAAATTCATACAGAAAAATTTTTCACTGAAAAATTAAACTGTGAAGGCAGGTATACTAAAATTATGACAAGCAAATACTAGAATTAAATAAAATGCAGCAGTATGGCACAATATTTCACATAGAGGCTGATAACCATGAACACTTCAATAGTGTCTAAGGGGACCACTATATTTTAACTGGGTATAAAAATTGTTGTTCATAATATTGATGTTGGGTGGATGTTTGTAGGTATTGATTCTAAGCTAAGCAGCAAAGGAGAACATTTAATTGTCATTATATCAACTTGGTAAGTCTGAATCTTGAAATGATGGGGTCCAGTAAGGAAGCATGTAAAAGTTTCATTTCCTTTTTTTTTCTCACTTATACTTTTTTCCCCAACTGTGTCTAGTTTTCCAATCTCATCCTCCGAGATAGATTAGATCCACTTATCTCAGAACCACTGCATGGTCTCCGCTAGCTTAAAGACATCAGGGGCCTCTTGAGAAATCTTAGCACAAGTACCTGAAAATGGAGTGTTGACCGCAAGTTGGCAAATTGCCCCCAACAGGCCTAAACCCTGTCACTATATGCACAGAGATGGGCAGGTGCAGTGACATTTTGCAGTTTTCCCCGGGGACCTCTGCTATTCCTGCCAATAACATCAGACAATGACTTCTCTCCAGAAACCCTTCTCTACA